GAGGTGGTTGGGAATTTTTCGTGTAAAAGGCGTTTATTGGAGTGGTGTATGGATTCTTCTGGATTATTTGAAACCTGCGTAACCGTAAAACCTTCTCTGCTCCTTCTCAGATGTTGGCTACTTTTCTTGCAGGCCAGCTTCAGGCGTATTCTTTTTTCTGGTTTAAAAACAGGGTGCCGAAAGATGTTATGGCGATTAGTTGGATACAGTGGTGTGATTCTCCCCTGTCTTGTTTTTAACCTGTACTCTCTTTTGCTAGCTCCTTGCTAGTTTTTATGATATTTCGTCTTTGTTGCCGGTAAAAAAAAATTTAGATCTGCTTTTTAATAGACAAATTTAGGATTTAGGATCCTTTTCATTTTTAATTTTAATCAGCCGCAACATGTTTCTGTTTTATCCATAAACATAATTTTACCAAATATATAAAATTTTATTCATTCATTTTTCTGTGCTTCAAATCAAATCTTATACCCATAAACAAAAACAATATTTTTAGTATTAAAAATCTTATAACAAGAAGTCAAGAATAGAAGCTTAAGAATAAGTTAATCATAAAGGTGGTATATAAGGACAAAGTGCTGATAAAATCAATTTGAGTTCGACTCATTTCATCTACATATACGTTTGTGGCCACTGGAAGATCTATTTCAGGATTTTTGGTGAATCCTACGATCATAATTTGTCATTAGATTAGTCTGGACGAAGTTTGAGATTCCCTACCCCTAAGAAAACAAAACTTTTTGGTATGTTGGACCTTTGATTGAGTTTATTATACTTCTATTGAATTTAAACCAATTGTATTATGCTATTTGAATTTAATGAATGTATTATATTTTGTTTAATAACAATAGGTATAGATATATCATTAGGGTAGGGATTGTGTAAGACCAACTATTTTTTGTGAGGTCGTCAGAGATATTGTGAAGGTAGTTTTTTTTTAAGGTTTATTGTGTCCCCCCCCCCCCCCCCGGGTCATTTGAAGGTCTGGTTCCTATGACAATTCGATGTTTTACTGTAAATATTCAGCAATATAAAAAAAACCATCCAAGGGCTAAAAAATGATCCAACTTTTTGAAAAAACTGGACCCTCTTATGTGATGTCAAGTCTTTGTCAACTAGTGTTGGGTAATTGACCATCATTTTCTTAAATAAAAACGTGGTACTGACTGCTATGTTATAAGAAAATAAGTTGCGTCTTCTCCATCAATGAGAGTATATGTGAAACCCCCATATCACTCTCCAGAAGAGCCCTTGAGAAGAAAGAAAATGTTTCAATATATATATATATATATATATATATATAGAAGAAATGGTTAAAGTGTAACCGATGATCTGGAACTCTAATAACAATCCCACAAATGTGATTAAAAATATGGTTTACTACCGTCTACTTAAAACAAATCATCTTATCTTTTAATCCAAAATCAACTTCGATGCTAGTTGTGAACTTCGAAATGCTATATTGGAAACGTGTGATGTAATCATTTTGGAACCAAATATAATTAATAGGATCTACTATAATATATAACTGAGTTGCGTTCTCTTTGGTGAGGACTATGTAACAAAGTAAAATTTGTCTAAAATGGAGTATGGATGAACCAGAAATTGTATCTCGAAGTGGTTTCATTAAAATGGGTTATAAATAACATTTAATATCTTGAACTTAAAGCTTGTTTACATAAATCGTTTGCTACGCTGTGTAAATTATGGAGATAGTAGAGATATATTATTGCTGAACTTTGTGCATAAGAAGACTGAGAAAATATATCACAGAAGATGAACGAATAACTCTTATATCATATCAAAAGGAGAAAGAATTCGTGGATTTTATTTGTACTTAATTAATTACAAAGATTAAACCCGCTATTTATATGATAAACCCTAACAAACTAACTTCCACATACACCTAGCCAATATATGAGTTGACACCTAACACACACAAATGTACCCTTACACAAGTGGACTATCTTTGTTTCCAACATGAAACCAAACTAATTATTTTGTTTCACATATGAAGCAATAATAGATTTTGTTACATTTGTTTCATGCTAGTGTTGTTTCACGTATGAAATAATATATATATATATATATATATATATATATTTAACAATTCATAGTAGCATTTTATATGTGAAACCACCGGCTCAATCCCTTATTGAACAATATGTTAATTTTTTAAACAATTCATAATAACATTTCACACACACACATATATAGACACACACACACACACACACGTAAACCATGGGAGCAAAGCACAGCCCAATCATTATGCCGTCTCATCGTCTTCGACCACCTCTACCTTTAAATAATATCTGGAATTGGATCCGGCCATCTTCTCTCGTCTTCGTCTCCCGTTTGCGACATATCACCGACGAACCTTCTAAAACCCGTCTCTGTCATTGAAACATCTACTAAACCTCTTTCTCATCTGATTTCAAAAATACCTAATTTGGTTGTTAAAAATAGCTAATCAAAGATGAGACACGACTAATACTACCTCCTTTCTTCATTTTGAGTTGAGAACTTTCAATTTCGAATTCTGTGGAAAATAGGTGAAGGAAAAGTCGTGAAGAGAGAGAGAGAGAATTGTGGTGGAGAAAATCCGGAGAGATAATAGCCAAAAATTGATAAAAACATTTATATATAAAATTGTATTATATCGACATGGATAAAAAAAAATAAAACGAAACATTGAAATGGATTTGTGTCTCGATGCATTACACGAGTACCCTTCTAGTATATATATATATATATATATACACACACACACACACATACACACACACATACGGGGTTCAAACGAGAACACCCTATTTTATGAAAATGTTAGAACACTTCTAGACCTCCAAATTATTTAACCCTAATAAAAAATTAGAATAAATGAATATAAATTAGTATTCATCAATAATTTTTGTTATTTTAAATGACTTTATCCCTTAAATGTTGGTAGTATCATCAAGGACGTCTTATGCTCATGTCTCTCTTGTCGATAATTGTATGATAATGATATGACTTTCTTGTGATAACACTTTGATAAATTGAATACTTTTTTATGATGTAATAATTAATTAATTATGTGGTTTTGTTGTGATAACGATGTGATAATAAAAAACCAGTGATAATCACGTCCATAATCATCATCTATTTGTTCATTATTTGATTTTGCTGTAATAATAATGTGATAATGTTTTGATATATTGTGATTCCTGAGTGTATTATATGTACATAATATTAGGGATAATGAAGTCAACAAGATTACAGATAAATATGAAATTATGATTATCCTTAATTATTTACTTTATTTTCTTCTTATTTGGAGGCTTAGAAATGATTTCGCATTTTAATAAAACAATGGTGTTCTCCCTTGAATCTCTCCCTATATATATATATATATATATATATATATATATATATATATAAAAAGAGAGAGAGAGGGTCTAGAGGAAAATGGTAAGTAAATGAAAAATTAAAAAAAATATCTTATCAACCGTTAGATTAGATGAATTGATGGATGTTATCAATGGACGATTACAATAGTATTCTTTAAATTAAAAAAACTCTCATCTCYCCCCCCCCCCCCCAAAAAATCTTTTATTACATTTGTTTTTTCATGGTTTTCATCTATTTTTTTCTTCCTGAATCCGACCCTATACAGCTACACGTATCATTTGGTCTTTAAAAACCAATTTAAAATTTAACATAGGAAAGGAAAAGAAAAGAAAACAAAACCGATAGATATATTAATTATATTACCCATGAAGAGGAGATAGTAGCTTCAAATAAATGTACAATTCAATATTATGAATCGATTAAATGTGGCACCACCCTCATTCATATCTTTTAAATTATTTATTTTGGGTTTCTCCGATCCCGTGTTGTTGACCGCAGGCTGCGGGGAAGGCGTACGTATGTGTAATAAAATAGATGGGCAATTAGTCAGTAGCTAAATTATTAGTATTCATTAAATGAATGGTGATGGTACTCTGAGTATGGAGTTCTCACCATCTATCACTCTCTTCCTTTGTTTTGTCAATTTCACATAAATTAGTTTTTACAAGTACTTTCCATCATATTTTTATATTCCTTCTAGAACGCTTTATTTATTGACCATAGGAAATAATAATTCAGTGGGATACATATACACACTCAACATAATAATTCTGTCGATACCCGGTTAGTATATATATTGTATAAATATAATCAATCTTTCTTCCAAAAAACTTATAAAAGGAATTACATATCGGGATCGATCAACAAGGGGTAGTACATGAATATTCATGATTGTTGTGGGAAACTTTTGTTAATATATCGATGTGATTATTATAAAAAATTTCAATTATTAATTATTGTAATTGATATAGTTGTGTTTGAATTGCTTATATACAAGTAGAACGATTATAATTTCAAGATTATATATCATTTAAATGTAAAATTAACATCTATATATTTTGAATTGTGTAGATGAAAAAAAGAATCTCCAATATTATGATGGGGATGAAATGGGACAAAAATGGAGATATCCCTAATTGGGAACTTGATCCAATTTCCATGACAAATCGAATTATATAAATAAAACGTTACATAGACTATTGAAAATGTTCTAGAAGAGTTCCAGAATTATACATATATAATAAGTCTTTTTGTAAGAAATATTTTCTTGCATCATTAATTATATATATATATATATATATATATATTATTAACCTAGATATCAAATCCGCTATACAAGCCAACTAATTCTAAGACGACTACCTACTTTGTATATAGCTCGGAGTCACCGCATTTGAATTCACATGACCATAAGGGGATTTTTATTCATCCTTGGATTTGAATATGAGACTTTTTAGTATTTTTTTTTAATATTTGGAGTCAAGCTCAAACCAATCAAAAACCAACTGGTTTATTCTTGCATCTTATTTGATAGCTTAATCGTTAATAACAAATATTTTGCTATTCCTCTATAAAAGGGTCATAAATAAACGACTGAAACCATCCCAAAAACAATCAAAACCTAATTTCTGATCATCACTATGACTCTGAAAAAGCTTCACGTAGCCATAATCTCTAGCCCCGGCATCGGCCATTTATTCCCGGCACTGTTATTTGGCCACCGCCTTGTCAATCACCACAACCTCCGTGTTACCATCCTCGCCGTCACCACCAACACCTCACCGGCAGAATCCAAACTCTTCAATCCCTTCACCTCCAACCTCCACCTTTCTGTCATCCCGATCCCCGCTGCAGACATCTCCTCCGTTGTCGCTCCCGACGCCAAAGTCTTAACACGCATTTGCGTCATGATGAAGGAAACCGTACCCGCCATCCGCACCACCATATCCTCCATGGACCCTCTTCCAGATGTCCTCGTTGGCGATATTTTCGGGGCGGAAACTTGGGTGATCGCCAAAGAATTCAGGATGCCAAAGTACGTGTTCATCACTGGCAACGCATGGTTTACTGCACTATTCGCGTATTCTCCGGTGTTGGATAAGGAAGTTGTGGGTCAATTTATTGATCAGGTTGAGCCGATTGAGATACCCGGTTGCAAACCGATCCTACCGGAGGAACTTGTGGATCCCATGCTAGACCGGGACGAAGAATCGTATCAAGTTCACGTAGACCAATCGATCCTTGTGACGTTGGCAGATGGCATGCTAATAAACACATGGGAAGGACTGGAGCCTCAAACTCTCCATGCTCTTAGAGATAACGATATCATGCGGTCTATGTTAAAGAATAAACCGGTTTACACCGTTGGTCCGATACACAAAAAGTACGAACCAACCGGTTTGAAGGGTGAGGTGGTTGAGTGGCTCGATAAACAACCGGCTAACTCCGTTTTATACGTGTCGTTTGGAAGTGGGGGAACGATATCAGCTGAGCAAATTACAGAACTGGCTTGGGGATTGGAGCTGAGCAAACAAAGATTTGTTTGGGTGGTGAAGTCGCCTAACAAGCATTGTGTGGACGGGTCTTTCCTGAACGCCGGTCAACCGAGTGGTCCAGTCGACTTCTTCCCACTAGGGTTTTTGACCCGAACCCAAAACGTTGGTTTGGTGGTAACATGTTGGGCTCCACAGGTGGAGATTCTAAACCACATATCAGTGGGAGGCTTTTTAACGCATTGCGGATGGAATTCAACGATAGAAAGCATTGCAAGTGGGGTACCCATGATAGCATGGCCATTGTATGCGGAGCAGAAGATGAATGCCACCATGTTGACGGAGGAGCTGAAGGTGGCGGTTCGGCCAGAGGTTTTGCCGACAAAGAAAGTGGTGGGAAGGGAGGAGGTAGAGAAGATGGTGAGGGGTCTGATGGAGGGCGAGGAAGGAAAAGCAATGAGAGAGAAAGTAAAGGCTTTGAAAGTAGGTGCAGAGGAAGCTACGAGCATGAATGGTTCATCTTACATTTCAACATGTAAATTTGTCCAAGATTGTGTGTCACAGATTGATCAATACTCAATTTAACGAAGCATCAATATATATACGGAGTATTTATATATATATATATATATATATATATATATATATATATAGTCGTCATGTCTATGAAAAAGTTCATAAGGGATTGTTTATCAACTTCTTAGTTGTATTTGTGTTTATCAATTTTGATATATAAGGTTAGGATTCAAAGGTTTCACATGTTCTGTTTTTATATGAGTTTGTTTCAATGTTTCATATATATGAAACATATTTACATGTTTTGTTTCAAAAGTCCACATAATCTTGTAGGTTTTATACATGAAGCAATATTACACGTTTGTAAATGTACTTATTGAAGTGCATCCAAGTTCCACATCGAGAAGAATGGGGAAGCATGCAAACTACGTTGCCAATTTTGTCGGCGCAAATACGTGAAGCGAAGTTGAAAACACAAAAGGTGTGAGGATGAGAAAGTTGGATAATAAAACAAACACTATATATCGTTAAGCAATTGAAATAATGTAGTAAATAGAGTTATATACTTAAATCAATCATCATTACACAAAGGAAACATAGATTCCTAGTTGTCAAGATGTGATTGAAAGAAAAATAGTGAAATGATGTTACAAGGTGAAAATAAATCCTCGAATGTAGAATGGAGCTCCGTGTAAGTTTAAACCACCAAATTAAGACAGTACAATATTGGAAATACCAATGACTTAAACTGATTATTAGAATGACATTAAAATGGAACAAAATTTACCCAAAATGGAGAAACGTACCTAAAGAAATTAGAGGCAACTTGAACGACAATGGAAAACCAAGTGGGCATAATTCTAAGCACGTTTCTCCATAAAAAGATCAAAGAAATGTATAAGAATGTAAATGATGCAGGTCGAGCTTGAATATCACTATACTCGACTCGAACTCGAAACCCAATTTCCAAGCTCGAACATGATAACTATTTCTTAAGCTTAAATCGAGCTCGAACTGCAACTCAAATCAAGCTTAAACTCGATTTCAAACTCAAATCAAGCTCACACATTGAAATTTATAAAAATTTAGGATATTTCTCTTATAAATTTTAAAACTTAAAGGTGTTTCATTAGTTTTTATAAAACTAAAATGATCAATTTCAAACTTTATCATAAAAAGAAGACGAAGTTAGAAATTCTATTCACCTTCTTCTATTTTTATAACATCTTTTCTTCTTTCATTTATTCCAATACCCTTTTTATAGTTTTTCTTTGTTTTTTTTTATTGTGATTTTAATATAAATTTTTTTTGATTAAGTTTTATAATTAAAAAATCATAATTTTGTTTAAATATCTAAAAATATATGATATTTTTATTATTTATATCTTATAAATTTTATCATAAAAATTAATTATATTTTAAAACAAACTATATATAAAATAATTAAGTATCTTACGAATTTTTTTTTTAATAAAGATTAACGAAAAATGGATATAATTTCCAACAAATCTCAAGTGAGAAAGAAACCACCCATATCCATAGAAAATGGAATGGGCCACTTGGATGGCTTTAGACTGGGCTTCTAACCCTTACTTTATGGTTAGGACTTAGGCGTAACGCCACCCACACTTGACAGTTGACACTGACAGTTGCGAATTTGCGAATAGTGGATCTTGGTCTAGTACCTGACTGACGCAGATCCATATATGGAGTTCGGATCCCATCCCATCCGACCCGTACCTTTTTAAATAAACTTTCAAAAATTATATTCCAACACCTTGAATTTCCTGAATCACAATTTTTAGTTATTAATTTTTGTATTTACAGGAAAGCCCTTGGAATTTTAGAACGTCTATTTTTGCCTCGTATAAAACCAATAACTTTCTGAAACTTAACAATTAGTCCCTGAACTTTATAAAATTGCTTTATACCACAAAGTGTTGAATTGACGTTCACGATTCAATGTATTTACTTTCTGAAAATTACCCAATAGCCCCCGAATGTTACAAAATTATATTTTCAATCCACTGTTTTCGCTTCATTGTGGGATCTTGATAAACTCTACTAAACATAATTTTAACATAGATTTGGCTACAAGTTTCTAATGCAAAATACAACTATTAGGGCCTGTTTGGTTCAGACATGAGAATGAAAATGAGAATGACAAGGAATGAATATTGCATTGATGCTGTTTGATTAATACTGGAAAATCATTATCATTATCATAGATGTTGTTTGGTTGCTTAGCATATATAATAACTGAAATTTTGTTTTATAGCATTGTACTACCATTTTATCATTTAAACATAACTTCAAAAAACACAATACAAAGTATGTTTCATCCAACTTCTAAATATAATACAATACATTTCTATGTTTCAACCGACTTCAAAAATACAATATCATTTAAACATAACTTCAAAAAACACAATACAAAGCATGTTTCATCCAATACAATATATTTCGATGTTTCAACCGACTTCAAAATACAATATAATCGGATGTTTCAACCGAATTCAAAAATACAATACAATTCCAAAAAGAGGCTTACATAGCCTACCAACATCAAAGTACATACCAAAAGGTTATGTTTAAGGTCCAAATTCATTCATTAACAGGATACAAAAACCCAAGCACGTATGATCTTCTCATGTGAGTTGGCAACGTAAACAATACCTTAACTTTGGTGGGTTCATTATAGCAAATCTCAAAAGCTTTACCAACATCACCAGTAGATATTCCAATGTTAAGAAGTTCATTCATGACTTCTTGCATCTTCTCATCACTCAAAGAATTGGATTTCGTAGCATCAGTCAAAACGTTAGCAGTAGCAGTATATTGTGACATCATTTGACCACAAATAGATTCAAACTTGGAATTAAATTCATCTAACCTCGTGTCAAGGGTACTTTGAAGTGAAGGTGATTTCTTGTTCTTGTAAATTTCCCTTCTAGGTGAAAGTCCTTTGTGCTTCTTTGATTTGATAGTGGTTGACGAATTAGGAGATCCTTCTGCATCTGCTTCTTGTTCACCTTCACTATCGGAAGAACATAAAAACACATTCTTGTTGTTACTACTATCCTCACATGCTTGTGCTATATCCGCAGCTTTTGGCCCCGTCGCTCTATCTCTACCCCATACCAAGTCCAATTTTCGCAAATATGAAAATTTGAAGTTCCACAACCCAGATGCATTCTTATGAGTCTACAAAAATAAAGAAAATGATATTATGAGAACAAAAAAAAATACAATTAAAAAAAGTAGTCGTTTCATGACCTTACCTTGCACCAATCATCATACCATTGCTTCTCACAATTAATTTTATGCTCCACATCATCCCATTGACACCCACTTTGCATCAACATTTCAGAAAGTGGATTATATTTGTTTTTAAGATATTTTATCCGAGAGTCGATGTGAGGGATAACTTCCTTATCAAAATTTGGTAGTCTTTGGACCAACCTCTTATGCACTTCAATCATGTAGCCATTTTTGAATCCACCATCTACCTTTCATAAGGGATCACAAGCAAGTTCTTGTAAAACATTGACCAATGCTTCTCCTTCCTCCTCATTCCAATATATTTTGTTTTTTCCCCTTCCACGTTCACGCTCACATGAAGATGTAGCCATTTCTAAACAACATAATAAAACATAAAAATAGGGCATACTAAAACATAATGTCAAATACGATAATAAAACATGTTGTTAATATGGCATAATAAAATATAATGTCAAATACAAGATAATAAAACATAATGTCAACATAGAAATCCAAAAACAAGTACAATCATGACAAAGTCTATCTACTTCTCCATGCATTAAACATATTGGTAGCCATAGTATTTCTAAATGCTAACCACTCATCGGTTGGACTAATGTTTGTAACGTATTCGACTTCATTACTTTCATCCTCGCTATTTGTTTCTTTTTCTTCTTCTTTTCCTTCGTCTTCAAGGACCGACTCTTGGGGATCATGGCTCATAAACTTTCGAATCAAGTTGTGTAGGAGGCAACACGCCATTATAATTCGAACTTGGGTTTCAATWGGGAAGAATGAGGGGGATGCAAGGATCTTCCATCTTYCTTTCAACAATCCAAAACATCTCTCAATCACATTCCTTGCTTTTGAGTGTTTCATATTGAAATACTCCTCAGCAGTGTTTGGTCGATGGCCACTAAACTCTTTTAGGTGATATCGTTGTCCCCGATAAGGTGCAAGAAAACCATTTGCATTACAATATCCAGAATCAACCAAATAATAAGAACCTTGAGGAACTCTTAGGCCTTGAGGCTTTGAGATTGCATCTCGAAGCACACGACCATCATGCGCAACCGGGCAAAAAAAATATGAATTGCATGTTGGGGCAGCAGACACCTAAAACATTAGTTGAAATGCAACCCTTTCTTGTGCAATAATGAGGCTTTTCATCACTAGGAGGTGTAACTTTAACTAAAGTCCCATCCAAAGCTCTTAAGCAGCCCTACAAAACAAGGTATATATATACATCTCACTTGGTGTTTAATTCATAACGCCATTAACTTACAAATGTAACTACAAAACTAGTCATACCTGAAAACATTTCCATCTCCCATCTTGACAATCTTGTGTAATAGGCTTTGGTTTCTTGAGTAAGATGGAGTGCAACTCAAAATTGCTAAAAGAACTAGATGAAATTGCCGACTAATTGTTTCTTTACTACAAAAAAAATAAATTACTAAGTGTTATATTCTTTTTGTGGTGAGCCAAGGTGTATAAAAACATTGCAACAACCTCTTCAATAGACGTGTTTCTATTAGGCTTTAAAAATCAAACATCACTTACCTTATCACATAGTACCCTAAAGGTTGCTCTATCCATACGAAGTTCACTAATACAAACGACATCACTTTCCATTGTCAACCTAAACATCAATTTCATCCTATCCATTATTTTTTTCATCCTTTGTTTTGATTTCACGAATCTTATATCGACTGTAGGAACAAATAACAACATAGTAGTTGGCAAGTACAAAGAGTAACATGTTATTTGTTGTTTGTTGACACAACAAAAGTTTCCTTAGTTTGCAA